GGGGTTGGGGGGTGTAGTGAGGGAAAAGAAAAAAAAAAAAGAAAACCATAACCACCAAGAACAAAAAAAAAACCCCAAAAATTAAAAACAAACAACAACACCAAAGAGAAAAGGGTGGGGTTGGGGGGGGGGGGGGGGTGTTGGGGGGGGAAAAGGGGTTGGGGAGGGGGGGAAACCCAGGCGAGCCAAAGAAAATAATATATATATAAAAAAATATCCATAAATATATATATCAACTATGCAAAATTGACGGATTGAATATATATATATATATATATATACATGACATAATGGCTTTGACTTTCTATTGGTTAAATAATTTTCAAAATAGGTACAATCGATCCAGAGATTATCCCCTACAACCTCACAATCATTACATCTTTATACTATTAGCATAGTATGTATGCGTACTTTATGGTCAGAATATCGAAAAATAATAACTATAACATCATTGCTCATATCAACGGTATAATTTGCAATACAACACGTAAATTTATTTGAGTTTAAAATAAGAAATATTTTTATCCGGATTAAGTTTTTACACATACATTGCATTAGTTATTGAGCATTTTTTCATATGGGAAACCCATGATCACAAGGGCAACCCCCCGTCACGGCTTAATATCAGTAAAACAATAAGCCATTTATTTGAAGGTCTACACTCTACATAGTTATTTTAATGCAGTTTTGTTACGTCGGTAAAAACAGGATGGCCGTATCTCTTTTAAAAGATGAGGGAAAAGAGCAGAAAACTCGCGCAAAAGATTCAAGTAAAGATCGAAGTAGATTAGTTGGGTAGTTCATTCATTTTTATTAATGGGAATAAAATTAATTGTCTTATTATTGATAAGTTTCTACACAAAAAAAAACTGACCATTTAAAATACTTCTCCAAACTACAAATATTATTTTCATAAATGTGATTCCTATTTGGGTAACCAAATAATAATCAAAGCATAAATGATAATGATGACCCTAAAAATTGTAGCTCATTTTTGTAGTGTCGTAAGAATATGTCCCCAGTTGGTACTATCTTATCATAAAATTATTAAAATAACTCGAAATTCTACATTATTAATTCGAATGAATAATTAAACCTATTTATTTCTTAAGAAGTAAACTTCATAAGAGTAAAATAGAACAAATACTTTCGGAAAACTAGGTGAACAGTAGCCCACGAAAACATCCTTAACTAAACCACACAAAACCTTTTAACCACTTAATATTAAGTAGGTTGCGAGTTGCGACCTTCAGAGCCGCAAATGCTGGCTGGCTTTATGAGGCCTAATTTCATGCATGTAATATGAATGTGTTCTTTATTTCTATACACAACGATTTTTTTAAATAACAACCTTTTTTTACTTAAAAATACTTTACAAGCGACTAGTGATTAAGTCATAACCGTTTTTTATAGTACTTGACTATGTTACCGTGAGATGTATCCAACGCGAAAGCCAGTATTTCACAAGTAAACCGCTGTATTTCGCGTTCAGGTCTGATGTGACCAAAATGTTTAGGGTTACAGGATATAAAATGCTTATTATTACTTCTTAATGTATTCAAGAATAAAATGACTCATAAATATGTGTACCCAGTCCCCGATTTCGGACTTCACAATAAATCAGTTAATAAAAAAGATACATGAATATTATACGAAGTATGAAGAGATACATGGTTTTTTAGCATTAAGTTTTCATAAATAATATTTGATTTTGTATTTGCTTATTTTCAACGAATCATTTAACCATTTTACAAACAGTACATAACTGTCTCACCATATATAAACTGTATTTAAATATAACTCATTATTCAAATTTGTATATTTAAGTCGATATGGTACGCGCAAAAGCACTCTTGTCACAATTTTTTTCAAATACCCTAAAGTAATAATAAACTAGTTTTATAGAAAGGTCACAAAAACCGTGTACAAATTATAAAGACGTTAAATTCTGAGGAGAGTTGTACTTTTTTGTTGCTGGTCAGAATAAAGTCACAAAATGTTAAATACATTTTATTATTACAATTATCAGTAATACCCGGGGCAGGATTTTACTATTAATATATAACTATGGTTAATGCATTGTTTCTCAGCGATTCTTTCCTATATGTAAAATCGCCGTGTTAAGATATATAACAGAGCATAGTGAAACTGCATACACGATAGTGGGGTGGGTTAACGAACTTACGAAGTCGCTACCCAAACCGGCTAGGCTGCTAGACCAGCCTGTGTAGATCACAATGCACTGAATACTTAATGCATGTTAATTTACCACTTGAGTTTTTCACTTCACTACTTCCACTACTAAACTTCTCATTTATGTCTTATATATGCCTGCTATTTATAAATCAATCAATGTAGAATGCTGCCTGCTATTTATAAATCAATGTAGAAAATTATTGACATTAATACATAGGAGGATATAGGCATGATCAAGAAACTTAACCGTGTTACTACGAGTTTACGAATACATCTTTGTATACATATTCTCTAACAATATACAATACCTTAATTATTATTTACTGTTTGCCATTAGAGAAACTTGGTGTTCCTAGATTTTTTTAATAAGCAGTTAAGTTAATTGGTCCTCATCATACTCTACGAGAATCGCACACTTTTCGTGTTATCATTACGTTATTTACAGACTAACCCATTTGAAATTTGATTGGATGATCCATATTCCTTTAGAAAAAAGACTGACCATGTGACAAAATAACTAAGTCACTAGTACGAGAACTATTACTAATACTGAATATGTACTGTGGTGTGACTCTTCAGGCATCAAGATAAAACCTCCTTGTGATGATTTTGGGTCTGTGTCTAGTTTATTTCAATAATTTTAAAGTTTAAAAGAAAAAAAAACTTCAGTATTAAATTTACTAAGTATATATACATTAATTAGGTCTTAATTCGGTCACGGAATCAACACTATCAGATAAGTCTCGAATAACTTTTGTCCTACTACTACATACAGCTGTAGAGCGTAGTTGTAATTTACGCCTATAAAAAATCTGGTTCTAGGACATTGCTCGCAAGATATATTGTATGTCACGAAAACAAAGAGATTATTAGTAAATTATCAACCAGCAGTACGTAAATGATACTTTTTATCAGACTTGTAATTTAAAAAAAATAAGTCACAATAAAAGAATGACAAATAATTGTCCTCGTCAATTATTATTGAATAAATTATATTTTTCATAAGTCTCGGAAGGCCAAGATTAACTTCATTCAGCTCATTGCACCAGCAATGTAGAAAATATTTTTGTGTAATATTGTCTTTTATCTGGTATGTATATTTTCTTTATGTATTTAATTAAATAAAAATATGATATTACTGAAAAGTGAACCTACCTATATAAATAAGGTATTAGAATAGCGCATTATCCTCCTACTCATGGATTCTAATATTTTAAAGTAATTTGTGTTCAGTTAATAGCCTCCTCTTTTAGGTATTAATGGAAGTCAGTTAAAAATTTAAAAGACAGAATATATATAGCTTTTAAAGCAGGTTTCTATAAAAGTTTGGTTTTAAAGAGTGAATATGTGAAAATGAATGTAATGGCAGGTACATATAATTATTATATTGGGAGAAGAGTATATCTATCTGGCTGCAAGCTGTTATTTTAACAGACCTAGAAAAAATCTAGTTAAGACTCCTACCTAATGTTTTTTATTCTTATAAATATACTTATATTATGAAATAAGCATTTTTACATATTTTTCTAGTGAATTGTGTATATCATTTATAAAAAGTAAAAACAAAAGAATTAGAATTAAAAACGACATAATATTGATGCAGGTATAAATAGAGATGTTGTTTATATGTTGGTTAATCAAAAATCAACATTGCATTGAAAAGTAAAAGTTATCTGCAAAAAACCGCATGGAATGACCGTCTCGACAACACTTCGTTAACAACGCGCGATCGTGAAACATGATTTCAGTTTTTTTCTCTGTCTTGATTTCATATATGACGCGAGATAAAAAAGGACAGCCTATACAACCACGGCACCTATTCATGTTAACTGTTCCACATTTTTTTACCTGCCAGCTGTGTAGAACAGCTGTTTCTGCCGGCAAATCAAGACAACGAATTTTTTGAAACTTGTTTGGATTTAAATAATAATATACTAATATATATCATTGTTATGAAAGAAAACATTACGTTCATGAAATACATCGATCCAGCTACTCATTACGTTAACTTAAAGCTGTGTTATTACACAAAAATACCATTGGGTACTTCAAGCACCTTAACAAGCTCAATAGTATCGTAATTATAAAATTAATTAAATTTATATAAAATCCACATTAAATATTAGAGGTACCATTTTGAAGTTGTCCTCCATGTTGCGAATCCATAAACGCGCCCATTTTGCACACTATTCTACCTTAATAGGTATGAAGATGAGTTACTCGGGTAAGTCTAAATCATTGTTTTAGCGAACATAATGTAAAAGGCGTTTCTTACCGACGAAAAACACATGTTAAAACAAAACACCGGCCGGCCAATTAAATAGACCTACCTTAACAAAGCTGATCGACGTTGTAGTCCCTTCGATGTCCAAAAGCAGAATTTTACATTTTTTCACGATATCGTTTATTTCTTTTAGTTCATTAGCCATCTTTCAAGCTGTTATAAGTATACTTTAGTAATTCTTGAGATTTTGTAAAAGACTACAAATTCTACCACACCGCACTACAACCCCACGGAAAAGGGCATCGATTGAACGGGACACGAGAAAACTGAGGACAAGAGGACGCGCGGGCTGCGGGTGCAGGTTACACGAGTGAGCAGGATGCATCTGTTTATCAAAGGTTAGAGTAAGATAAAAAACGGAAGGATACGCCTTATTACAGTTTAGCCAACTTGAAGATTTAATTTGCAAAAATTGCCAGTTTGAAATAAATATTAATACTTTTAAGTAATTCAAAAGAATTAAGTTTTTAACCCTTTAGTTGGTATAATATAATAGAATTTATGCTACACTTAATGTAAGATAATAATAATAAATATTTATTAAATTTTTCAAATGTAAACTGAACTTTATTGAATTTACTGACTCCTTTTCCCGTCTTTGATTATTTAATTGTAATTAATTATTTGCATGCAATCAAAAACTATTTTTAATAATGCCAAAGTATAACTTCTTACGCGCGTATAAGTACACGCACGCTTTTTTTTATATTTCAAATCTTGTTTTTTTTTTTCAAACTTCAATCCTTTAATTCATTATATAGGGGCCTCATAGCCTAGCGGTCTTATTAAGTGGCAGCTAGGTGACCGGTACCCCGGTTCGAGGGCAAGTTTTAATTTAATTTAAATTTGTTCTCGGCCTTTGGGAGGGTTGTGCGGTACTGCTTAAACTGTACATGGCGGACAAGCACGAATTACAAAAAATCCTATACTTGACGCTGGCTAATGCACAAATCGTGTCAGAGCCATAAAAAAAACCATTATATAAAACTACATAATGTGAACAGTATAGTAGAAGGTATAACTTGATAAATTTCTTATAAATAATAAGATTGCATATGTTTTGTGACCTTTTCAGAATTTTAGAAAGAAGTGTTGTGTCATGTTTTTATTTATAAAGAAAAATACATGTGAAAAATAAAAGTTTTAATCCTCTCACTTTAAGTATAAATATCAATGAGAATCTAAAAGATGCCTTGTCCGTCTTGCAGTAAAGATGATCATCAACGTTCTTCCAGTGCCAAATGTTTAAATAGAAAACGTCGTATACGCGAAACTGGTATAGACTCAGATCAAGAAATTTCCGTTTATAGCAGCAAGAAGGGTCTCACCTCTGTGTTGTGCCCGTTGAACGATTGTAAAGAAGCAATTGTTTGTGCCATACGTGATGATGTACGAGAAATGTCCAGATTATCAATAGAGCTATCGTATCTGGTAAACTTTTTCTACAAACACTACAGCACTCGTGATGATTTTCATGTAATGTTTCCTAAATTTGATGCATTGCAATTTACTTATGCATTGAAGGGCGCAAAACATAACTGGCGAAGTACAGGAATTTTTACATGTTCGAGGTATTGCCACTAGTAGAACTACAGCTTATAACCCTCAAGGTAACGGTCAAGTAGAAAAATTGAATTCTACTCTTTGGAGAACGATTCTTTTGGCGCTGAAGACGAAGAATCTTTCGGTAGAAAGTTGGGAGCAAGTATTACCACAAGCCTTACATTCAATTCGATCTTTACTTTGTACAGCCATAAATTGCACTCCACATGAAAGAATGTTTAGACACCCAAGACGATCTACTAACGGCACTTGTTCCATCGTGGCTTACAAATTCTGGACAAGTCTCGATGAAGAAATTTAATCGTACAAATAAATATCAGCCATTAGTAGTAGAGGTTGAATTGATACACAGCAATCCTGATTATTCATACATTCGGTTCCCAGATGGCCGAGAAACAACGGTGTCAAATCGTCATTTAGCACCATTGGGTTCAGAAGGGGTAGATCTGCGAATAAATAATGACTATCATAACGTCACAGAACCACGTACGGAAACAAAAGACCAAAACTTGGAAATTCCTTCATCTAATGAGACGGGACCTGTGGTACTTGATAATAGCAGAGCTAGAGACCGATCTACCATCATCGCCAACGCCGGAGCTAACACTTCGTAGATCTGTCACCGAGATACCATCATCATCACCGCCGGAGCCAACACATCGTAGATCTGGCCGCGTCCGTAAAAGATCAGAATTATTAAAAGATTATATTTTAAAATAGTGCGGGAGAATGATGTAAACTTCTTACATGAAACTATCAACCATAAACTGATGTCATGGTCAATCTGTTTTGTTAGTGTCTTTTTGTCAATGTATCAAATGTAACCTTATATTCTTTAAAGGTTTTCTCTTATTTCAATCCTGGAGCCAAAACACCGATAGTTACATGTACTCGTAAGGGAGATGATTTCTCGTACAAGGTGTTGAAAAAGGAATGTGTAGTATACGAATCAAAAGAGTGTCATAGAGTTCGGAAAAGATTGCGTTTCATCAGACATAGAGGAGCGCATACGAGTGGACAGTCGAACAAGAGTCGGGTGTCGAATTAACTAGATAATCTCGAAACGCAGAAGTTTTCACCAGATTTCAACTAGGCAAATAAGATTACAACGTTTAAAATTCGACAAATACATCAATGATCAAAAGATGTTGCATAAAATTGTAGACGATTATTTTGGAAAAGAGCCAGACACTTTGGTTGTATACGGCTTCGATTTAATGAACAAAGAAACCTTCAAAGGTCACAGGAAGTTTAGACATAATGATGTACTTAATATTATAAAACGAAGAAAGAATTTGTCAGTGTTTGTGATTAATGAAGCATTTACTACTTAAAATTGTAGTTATTGTCACGATCGAGAATCTGTTCAGAGAAAATTAAGTGTATCAAAGTCTCCAATGCTTCTGCCGCGTGTGGTGCCCCGTTTAGCAGCAATCACGTTACGTGCAGCTTCAGGTTCAGACTCAGATACGCTGGTGTCATCATGTTCCTCAGTTAGTTAAACTCCGGGTCAGATTATGTCGTTATCCTCGTTCCTTTTCTAGATCTTCCTGTCCAAAATCATCTAAATCTAAGTCGTTGAGAAACTCCTCTGTCTGCATTCAAATCTAAAAAAAATAACATACTTTTTATTTAAAACCGAATACTTTAAAACTACCCAATGTGACCAAATGATCACAAAAAAAATCTATATTTTTTTTTACCTTTGAAAATGCTTAGTGACATAAATAATCCTCATACGAAAAACTCGTACATTTTGTCTCTAAAGTATTGTACTGGATGTCACTGTCGGATCGAAGATTTCAGAAATAAATAAAGATAAATACTCACTTTTCGTGCGCCGATTCCCGTAGTTCGCCATTTTGCAATGAAAAGACTGCCTTCACGTGATTGGATTGCAATTTTACTTATGTCAAATTGACGTCTATGTTCCCATCAATCAGGAATACACAGATGATATGACATTCACGCGCCAATTTTGAAAATATTTTCGAAGGATTTATTTGTTCTCAAATGATCACAGTGGGTCTTAACTTAGGGATTAGAGATGGACAGGGCATATGATGAGAGAAAAGCAAGAAAAATGGACAAAACTTATCACAGAATGGTTCCCTTTAGACGGAAAGAGACATAGAGGAAGACAGGCTAAGAGATGGGAGGATGACGTTAAGAAAATAGCGGGTTCAACATGGACTCGCACTGCAAAAATGAGAAAAGACTAGAAAGCTTTAGAGGAGGCTTTTGTCGGAAGACAAGTTGTAACCGAACTACCGTTTGCCGATAATAAATATATAGTAAAATTGTTAGTATATTAGTTAAACTCTAGTTAATAGTCAAAATGTGTTTTTACTCATAAGTAAATTAATTTTAGGCACACGAAACTACTCTGTGTAAAACTTGTTAACAACAATAAAACTTTTATTTTAGTCATACCATTGGAGATACATTGGCTACACAGAAAAAAATGTGTATTGTGATTAATCATGTGATACTAAATGTGGGAGTGCGTCGGCGAAATTGAGTATTGTAAAAAGCAAAGCATATTTACAGTCAGTTTATTAAAAGATCTGTTACATCATTATCATCTATTATAAGTATTTACAAGTATACAAATAGTTCTAGTCGCGAAGTTGTTCAAACAGCGTTTTCTTATATTCTTCAGTTTTCATCTTTTTAATAAGTTGTGGTGTGCCTACAGTTGTTTCGGCTTTGCGTTTTTTAACCTGGAAAAAGAGATAAAAAAATCAGATAGTTTGTTAGAGATAGAGATCAAAATTCAGGAGCTATTCATAAAGCTATTTATTTATTAGTATTTTTTATAAACATATGTTTTGTATATTGCATTCTTTTTAACCTGTTTTTCCAGTTTTACTGAACTTATACTTGCGACCAGCAAAACCCGTAAGATGTTTTTTTATCATAACCTGATTTAAATTCCCTCCTAAACAATAATTGTTCTAGGATAGTCTCATTTTCGCATAGATTCTTATCAAAATTAATGAGAATCTATGCGGAAATAGAACTGTTGTGATATTTGAGGTTTTAGCAATGTTAAATTACCCTTTTGTGATGCTTTCAACACTGTTGTTAGTAATGTTGATACTTATTATGGAAAAAATGAAATGTTTTTTAAACCCCAAAATGAACTTGGTAATTGTATGAATTCAATTGCAAAAACCCAAGATAAAAATTTTGGGTAATTATTAACTTTACTAAAGCCTCTATAGAAGTACTAACAAAGTCAAAATAATTTTGTTACTTTGTATTTTATTTTAAATAAAGTATTCTATACCTTTGGTTCCTCACTCTTCACCGTGAAGACAAAGTTGCCTCGCGCCGAAGCGAGGACTTTAGGCGTTTCCTCGTCCACGACTAAAGGTGTCGCGAGAGCAGCCAGTCTTGCGAGCGCTCCACGACCTCGAGTTAAGAACGACCCGTGGTAGCTTTGCTGTAATTGCATTAAATACTTTATTTAATGTATGAAAATTATATATACATATAGATTATTTATACAATAAAAAAAGGGTGCGTGTACTTATGTACGCGCGTAAGAAGTTATACTTATTTGGCATTATTAAAAATAGTTTTTGATTGCATGCAAATAATTAATTACAATTAAATAATCAAAGACTGGAAAAGGAGTCATTATGGTCAATAAAGTTCAGTTTACATTTGAAAAATTAAATAAATAAATATTTATTATTATTCTCTTACATTAAGTGTAACATAAATTCTATTATTATTCGAATGTTATTTTTAAATTATGTCCAATGCCGTAGCATCTTCCGGGGGCAACTTCATTCTGTTAATTTTGTGTCACGGTGCGCGCGCATCGTAAAATTTCACTCTCATAAATTTTTCATAACGCGCCTAAAGAAGTATAACTTCAAAAATACATTATCGTTAGATTTATAAGAAAATTCCTCAAAACGGGTAAAATAATTACTATGGAAAACTATACTTTAATTAATGCCAGTTTTTAAATAAATTTCAATCATATTAAACTTCCCCGAGGTTTGGCAAAGCAGTCTACTTTAAATTGTAATAATTCTGTTTAATCCGGTATAAAATTTAAAAATATAGTTTTTATACATAAATAGTACCTTTAAAATGGAAAATGGTTTCTTAGGACTGGGTATATCTTTAGTTTTCTTCTCAATACATTCCTTTTCGGCAACCGGGCTCTGCTTGCTTTCAGCTATGAGGTTAGACATAGTCCTCGAAGACAGATTCGCTTTGATAATTGTTGTTCTATTTATACTCGTATCGAGATCTTCGCCATTTTCTTGCTGAAAATTCGGATGGATTTTGTATAATATATTCTTGTAAAGTACAAACTATTTATTATATTAGGGAGCGTTCAATTATTACGTCACGCAATTCTTGACCCCCCATGTAACGCGCCGTAACGTTTTTCTGTAACCAAGTACAGTACTGTACCCAAGTATAGTAAAACGTTTCGTGACCACCTAGTGACTCTCTAGTGACGTGTAAACTACTGGCGAGTCGAAAATAATATTAACAATAACGGCTTAATTAAATCCCGACCCCGTATCGTAACGTTTTACAAAAGGACCCCCCCTCAAATTCGTTACGTAATACTTGAACGCTCCCTTATACAATTCTTTCATCATGTTATTTTAATAGACTATTAGGTGATCAGCCTTCTGTGTGGGCTGTTTCCTCAAAATATTTACCGTAGAACGTGCTAATTGCGCATAAAAAGAAAAATAAATTTGTGCACCGTGATTCAAACGCTCGATCTCCAGGTTGAGAGTCGCACGCTTAAGTCACTACTGCTCTACAAAAGGTTATTAACCGATTCGACGTGTACTTTATTTAACTACGTTAGTAATAATTTCATAAAAGCTTTGTACTTTAACAAATTCAAATAATTTGTTTATCATAAAAAAGTTTTAAACTGCAATAAAATCAACTATAATCACGAGTAACGGTTTTTTGTATAGGGGTTTTTACCGTCCGTGATCTTATAATTTGCTCCTTCAAGACGAAATTCAAACTTTGTTTTGATCAGGGTAGAAATTTTAAATAAAATTTTTATGAATACCATTTTCTTCAAAAACATCTCCCTTTCGTGTCTCTGTTTTCGCCACATCTCCTCTGACTCAAACTCTTCTTCTTGCGTATCACACTCATCTGCTACCGTACCCGATTCTTCTTCACCATCTGAAAATAAGAGATTTTTAGCAACAAATGTAATGCTATTAACTTATTGAAAAAAAATTTTGTATACTTTACCACAAAAATACTTAACAAAAACAATCTAATAGACAGTTTAAAAAAAAACTTATAATATAAAAGGTTCTTTAATAAATATAATCTAAATGGAATATATTAAACTATCAAATTATTAAAAGTGAAGAAATTAATTTACTCAAATTTGAGGTATATATAATCTGTGAATCAGGTCCTATTTAAACATTTATTTTATTAAAAGTATACATACCAACATTCCTCCATTTAAATTTCCTTTGTCTATGCCCATCACCGAGATCTGCGTCTTCAAGTAACAACTCTTGTATGAGACGAACTTCCCTTTTGTCTTGATCTAATACTTCTCGCCTGTAATTAGTATTATTGTTAACAGAAGCTAAAGCTGGGAACTTTCCTTCCCGATTAAAAAGCATGTGTGGAGGAAGATTGTGTTTTTCCTCTGTACTAAAGGGATTTATATTTCTTAGATATTCAGAATTGACGTACTCGACATTAGTGTAAGAATTACATTAGTTGACGGACCTTTTTTTATTGTCCGTTAAGGGAATTGACCAAACTGCAACTTTGTTCATGCCTATATAATGATTGCTATTTTTTGATTGATAATATAGAATACGGGCCTTAAAAAAGATTCTTGGCGCGAAATATGAATCTTATACGTAGAAAATCCAATATGTTTTTGAAGTAATGACATCTTACATATGTATCTGTCCCAACTCGCTCTGCAGCTTCCCCTGGTGAAAGACATCATCGTCTCCCTCTTCCCTCTCCATCCGGTCAAGACCAGCCTCATCTTCATCACCAGACCCCGCCCATTCATCCTCAGATGTCAATTCTGCTTCATTTTCAAAGAACTCCATCTTCTTTTTTTTAGGCTGGATTACTTCTACCTATAAATAAATAATAAGCTATCTTTTGTAAATGTCTTGAAGATTTTGGAAACTATTATCATAAACCCTCTGGCAAGGCAAAGGTTTTGTTAAAAAAAAACCAGTGGCATCTCTTAGGTCTGAGCCTCAGATTTCTGTATCTGTTTCATGATTATTTGTTTTACACAGACAAGTTGGTGATCAGCCTTTCGTACCTGACCCACGCCGTCTACTGTATGAGTCTAGGCATGCCGCGCCGGTTTCCTCACGATATTTTCTTTCACCGTACGAGCGAGTGTTAAATGCGCACATAAAAAGTACATTGGTACACAGCCGGGGATCGCACCTACGACCTCTGAGATGACGGCACATGAGATGGGCTTAATTTGTTATTACCCCATCTTTTAAATTAAACTAACTACCTGCCCGGCCTTGTGTGAATTTCAAACATTTTGGTTACAAAAAATAGTTTGTGAGTTCATTTGTGACTACAATAAATTTTTCCTCTGAATTGGACATTTTCTTTAGAATTTAACTTACTTCATTCTCCTCTGAATCATATTCATAAACCTTTTCACCGACATCAGCATCTGATTCATATTCTTCATCGGTTTGTATTTCTTCTTCTTCATCATCTATGAAAATAATAAAAAAATAAACATTTTGAAATGGTACAAGTAAAGGAAAAATGTTTTTTAAAGTCCAAAACCCGTGGCTTTACATATTTTTCAGGGCAAGTATTTGATGATCTTCCTGTGCCTAGCCCAAAACAATTAAATTGTATTAGTGCGAGATCCGGCTGCAGGATTAGTGCGCTCATCGTTTATTTGCTAAAAAACCAATATATCATAATTAATAGAAAAAATAGATTCAAGCCAAGTCAAATCATTTATTTCAATTAGACCACCTAAAATGGCACCTTTGAACGTCAAATAAAATATAAAGAAGATTCTAGTTGCCCCTTCCAAAAGGTAGTTTCGTGTAAAGAAGAATGGGCCAGAAACTCCACACTTACTCTTTTAAAATAGCTTAACAATATTTTGTTTACATTAGTTAAATAATTATATGTGAAGACAATGTACTCTTAGAATAAAACTATAACTAAAAAAGTTCTAACTTCCTCACATATTTACAAATATCGAAACCGTAGAATATTATACATTAAAGAGTAATAAAAATAATTTAAAAAAACCACAATAAATCAGTGTGTGATTCAATTTGATATATCGAAATCATACCTGTTTACGCCTGGCTGCGACGTGCGATGTGATTTTTTAAAAATCTTTATGTAAATGCTATGTAGACGATATATTATTTAAGAAACAAGTGAACGAAATGTTTTCCCAAAAATCAATTCAAAATAATTTAATTAAAAATACTAGCGGTCAAATTTTGATAGACAACTTGGTAATTATAAATATACATAAAAATTTGGTTTTTAGCAAATAACCGATGAGCGCACTAATCCTGCAGCCGGATATTAGATTATATGTAACTAAACCCAAAATACAGTACCTCCAATGATTAAGCTGTTCCTTTGACCACCCCTAATCTAAATATAACCTTAATTAATATTTGATTGTTTTCTATAAAAGAAGGCTCATCTAATACCACAAGGCCGCATAATATTATTGCCTGTAAGTGCCTGTCACATTGAAGCTAGTATTTATTTATGTATGACAAATATGTGCCAAACATTGGTAACTTTTAAAAAATTGCGCTCGCAAGTGCGTTGTCGGCTTATCACGAATATATACTTTTATGAAGCTTGCCATATTGTGTTTTACCAAAATACACATACCTGATATTTGCAAAGCCCGAATCTCTTTTCTTCTCTTCTTTTTCTTTTTAACTTCTTTCTCTTTATCCATTTCATCATCTGAATCAATTACTAATTTCTTCTTAATTTCACTTGGTGGTGCGAAAAATTTATACTGCTTAGGTTTATCCAATTCTGGCTCATCTAATTCATCTAAAATAGATTTTAAGAGAGTCTCTTCTCTCTTAGTTTTTTGTTCTATATTTTTTATATTGTCTTTGGTACAATTTTCAATATCTTTCTTACAATTCTCTTTAAGCATATGCCCTAAATCTGACTGTATAGGAGTTGGCATGCCTTCGGTGTCCAAACTTGCAGTCGGCAGTAACTCCTTTAGAATTGATGCGCTTTCAGTGTCCAATGTCTCTGTTGATGTCATGTCCTTCTCATTTATTTGAGAAACAAATTGGTTATCATAGAATTTTCCTGTGCAAAGTGCGACAACATCATCAGAGAATTCTAAAGATGGTGTAAGTTGAGATTTCTGAGTTGGAACGATGATGCTTTGTGAGAAACTACCGGAGCACATACCAACTATATCATCCAAACTTGCCTGGAAAAATATTTTTTAATAATTAAAAAAAATCACAATAAATGTAGTATTTAAAGGCTTTCAGGCATGGAGTTATTTTTGTATCACGTTTTGTATATACCATTTTTTATGCGGCTTTTGCCAAGTGAGTAGAAATATTGTTTTTTGAAAATCAAACCTATGGTTTATAGTTTATACATAAGGCAGGTTAATTCATAATAATATAACAAAATCTACAGCAATTATTTAATTCAAAAATAAACTAAACTCACATTATCATTCTGGGTTTCACAAATAACAGATATTGGGCCACTTTCTTTATCAGTGTGTGAGAGTATTGAAAATGTGCCCAACTCTTCAGTATTCATTCCCTCATTATTTTTGCTTAACATCAGCACATCACACTCTTGACTGGGGAATAGATCTTCTGAAGACTTATTTGTTTGGGCTAATTGCAGTTCATCATCTGAAAATATTTAGTTAAAACTCTTTGATACACGCTTTGAAGACATCATTTCTGCTAGAGTTTGTGCGTCTGTGTTGACCTAGTGGCTGCAGCGTGCGACTCTCATCCCTGGGTTCGTAGGTTCGATCCCCGGCTGTGCACCAATGGACTTTCTATGTGCGTATTTAACATTTGCTCGAACGGTGAAGGAAAACAGCGTGAGGAAACCGAATGTCTTAGACCCAAAAAAAGTCGACGACGTGTGTCAGGAACAGGAGGCTGATCAACTACTTGCCTAGATTTAAAAACGATCACAGATTCAGAAGTCTGAGGCCAAGACCTAAAGGGGTTGTAGCGCCACTACACGATTTATTTATTTTTGTGCGTCTGTACCATGGTGAGATTTTAAGTAGCTAGATTATATTTTTTGTTGACCACGCTGCAGTTTACGGATATAGTTTGACAATAATATTGATAATACAAATTTAAAGAAGTCTATTAAGTATGAGGGTGTGCAATTATTTAATCAATTACCGTCTAAAATTCGTAATAACTAAAATCGTTTAACGGATTCAAAAGGGCATTAAATATCTTTATATATATAATTCTTCTGTGAGTGTGTATGTCACTGAACTTCTCTCAAACGACTGGACCGATTTTGATGAAATTTTTTGTGTGTGTTCAAGGGGATCTGGGAATGGTTTAGATTCACAAATTAGCCCGGCAGATGGCACTGCAGTCGGTACTTTCATACTTTGCTTAATATCCTAATCGCTTTAAATATCATGCAGGACAACGTCTGTGGGGTCCACTAGTATATATATATTATCAGAACGAGCCTCGTAGACTAAAATTGGGACGGTTTTAGCCACGTGTATCTAAATAAAAATACATTTTTTGTAATGACAAATAGTTCTTTAAACATTATAATAGTATGAAAATCTTGTGTGCGTTATGAAATTTGTTTGTGTTCAAGTGCATTCTTGAATGGTTTACATTTATAATTAGCCTCAATTATGTGTTTTTTAATATTTTTGTATTTAAGACAGTGTACAGGACGTCTATAGAGTCCGCTAGTATGTATTAAATAATTATTTTAAATAAACAACTAAAAAATTAAGATGTAATTGCAATGCATACAACTATAAAAAATTTATATCTCGCTCTAAAAATTATGTTTGTCTTATGGCCAAAACTCCTTTTTTTATCGTAATGTGACAGGAAATGAAGCGTGAATTATGAATGATATTACCTTGAGATATTTTATCGTCATTATGCTCCACAGGTAATTTATTTTCAACATCTTCATCATCCGAATCTTCAAAAGCCTTAAGGATCCGGCCTTTCTTAGCCTTTGGTTGTTCTAGTTCATCTTCTGATTCACTGCTACTGTCACTTTCCTCATCATCATTGGCCTCAATTTCTTCATCGGCTTCGTCACCATCCTGTTTATCATCATCAGATTCTTCGGCTTCATCATCAAGCATTGGATTACGCTTTGCCGGATTATCGGTCATATCAACATCATCTTCAACTAAATCTTCATCTTCATCGCCAACCTCATCAATATCACCATCAGCACTATCATCAATTTCACCTTCGACTGTATCCTTTTCTTCAAGACTTTCGAGTTTTGCGTCAATTTTGTCAATATCCTCGAAGGAATCATCTCCCAAGATCTCTTTTTGTTCTGACTTTAATATTTTTTCCTCTTCAAGCCGTTTAGCCCATTCCAGAGACCTTTGCTCAGCAATTTCTTCTTCTAGTTGTTGTTTTAATTTAGTATGTTGTGTGCCTGGCTTATATCTGCAAAATGTAAAAAATAACATTATATTAAATTTGTCGATAGATATTTTAATGTGTTTCATAATAAATAAAAAATTTGTGCTACCAAAGAAACTTGTTTGCAAAAAAATGAGGAACTTACTTTTTCTCTCTATCTTTCTCCATGTCCTCCTGGTTCTGCAGCTTAGCAAAATATGTAAACCTTTCTTTTAGTAGTTCTACGCCTGTGGGTTTTCCAGTAGAGTCATCATCGTCATCTAAGCTAATAACCATACCTGGAGCACCCATTAATTTGGGTTTAATTACAATACTTTTCTTTTCCTTGGCTTCATCTGAAAGAAATAGATTATTATGATATTAAATATTTTACAGTTAAATATTGAAACTATATTGCACTACTACTTAACTATAAGGCAGAGAGAAATATCCCTAAATAATTACATAACTATTATAAATTGTTCTGAATTAAACTTATAGTCTAGTTGTATAGTCGTATATAGTCAAGTCAAGTCAAGTCAAAGTCAAAAATCATTTAATCATATAGGTAACACAATGTACACTTATAAACGTCAAAAAAAAAGGGTGCGTGTTCTTATGTACACGCGTAAGAAGTTATACTTTGGCATTATTAAAAATAGTTTTTGATTGCAAGCAAATAATTAATTACAATTAAATAACCAAAGACTGGAAAAGGAGTCATTATAGTCAATAAAGTTCACTTTACATTTGAAAAATTAAATAAATAAATATTTATTATTATTCTCTTACATTAAGTGTAACATAAATTCTATTATTATTCGAATGTTGCTTTTAAATTATGTATGTGCAATGCCATAGAATCTTCCGTGGGCAACTTCATTTTGTTAATTTTGTGTAACTCTCATCAATTTTTCATAACGCGCCTAAAGAAGTATAACTTCAAAAAGAAATGTATATGAAATGCTTCTAACATGTATATTATATAGGAAAGGAATGTGGAAATGCTACTAATGAATATAGTATAAGATTATTTTTTTTGGATATTGGATATAGCCATAAAAATAATAGTAATTTAAATGTGTTCTATGTAAAATGTAAAATCACATCCATAGGGGGATCATCAATACATACTTTTTTGTATTATACATAAATGATTACCTTTGACAATCTCTGCATTTTCAATAAGAGTCTCTAGATCTTCACAATTTAAGTCACAGTCTGAGAATGTATCTATATGTTCATCAGTTTTCTCCTGTGCAGTATTGGTTTTTGTACATGCTTTTTCTGAATCAAAATTTATTGATTCATAATGCAATGATATCATCTGACTGTCATTATTTTCTTTGTCTTTAGGTTTATCATCTACTGGACTATGTGTTTCAATTTTGTCACTGACATCAGTATGTACTAAGTAATTTGATTTTTCAGTTGCAATATCTTCTACTATACTTTCTTGAGTATCTCTTTCTGAGATATGTTCAACTATATCAACATGCATATCTTGTTTGCAACTTTTTTCTAATTTATTTAAAAAAAAGGGAGAGGAAGACTCCTCTTGCATTTCACTTTTATGATTACTACTAGTTTCAACAGCAATTTGGTCAAAACTCGTATCATTCTCTTGTGCTATATTTTCTGTGACAGCTTGATCATGTTCTTTATTTACTTGATTTGATTTGTTTACATTTGAATTTTCTTTTTCTTCGTTATCTTCGTCAGACTCACTTTTACATAATTCCATCATTTCTTTTTGCCTCTCCTCTAACATCATTCTGAAAAGGTATGAATATAATGCCTATACAAAGTAGATCTTCCCTATTATTTTAGTAAATAATTCTTTGATCAAACACTATAGAATGCACTTTATAACTGCTGTCCTTATCAATTATACTATATTAACATTTGCAATTTAATAGTTAGTAATTAATATATTCAATATAGAATACTATGACTGTCAGCTAATCATACTGTGCTGCCGAGTGGCAGTGGAACTTTATTAGGTATCATGATAGTTAATAAAATGTTTCTTACGCATAGTGTTTTAATTGCTGCTCATTCATTTTAATAGGTAATGTCTTTCCATCACTGGAAACAGCTAGTTTTCTACGATTCATAATATCTTTAAGAGATAATGCCTTGGGTCGATGATATGGAAGAGTAACCTCTTTTTCTCTTAACATTCTGTTGGACTCGCTCTTAATTTTTTGCATGTTTATCATTGCTTCTTTCGCTGACATCTAAAACAATTAGATTCGAACTCATTAAAAATTGAGATACAATTATTTAAGCATTATTTTTATTAAGATCCCAAAACAGTGTATTTTAATATCTGTTATTATGTAAGCATGCCAGCATTTTTTGTAGATTCAATGTAACTAAATCTAGAGAATCACTATTAGTTAATGTCATTGTAATCTTTAAAGAAAATATCTAGAAATCTGTGATCCCTCTCAGGTTTCTAGGTAATTTATCAACCCTTTGGTTGCTTGCCAGTGCCTTTCCTACAAAAACTAGATAATTTTATGGTATTTTTATTTTCAGGGACTGATAAAATAGCTTATTTTGTGAAAATGTATAATACTTAATTCAACCAATTTTACTATAGTAGAATTCTTACTTACTCGTATTGGTTTTGATTTCACAGGTGGTAAGTTTGATTTAGAACCAATTAATTTCTTTATGGCTGTTATACTATTTCCTTCATCGTCAGATTCATCAGGATCACACACTGACAAATTAATGTGTACTGATGTTTCTTCAACATTCTGTAAAATGTTGTTTTATTATGAAATATGTATATATAAGAATCAATTAAAGAAGAAATTAAATAAACAAATACCTCTTTACATTGTGTTAATTCATCCCCAGAGTCATTTCCATTCAAAGTTTTTGAATGTGATTTCCTATTTTTAAATTTATGAAATTTCTCTCTAAATTTTTTTTTACCGTCACGCTTTACGACATTCTTCCTTTGGTCTTCTTTATCACTATCGGAGTCAGTATAATTGTTTTTAATTCTCGACTTACGAATTATTGTCATATGTTCTTGGCATTCGTCACTATTATGTTCATTGGAGCGTGCAGGCGATAAATTAATACTTTGGTTAGAATCTTCAGAGAAGAATCTTTTACGCTTCTTTACGAGATTGAAAGCATCTTCTTCATCACTCGACATGATGGCAAGGTTATCTTCAACACGATCGTTTGTAACCTCAGGGATTTTTTCATTCAACGTGACTATTTCAAGAATATCCATCACAGCATGTAAAATTAATAGTAAGCAATTTAGCAAATTGGCTACGTAAGACTTACATCGTATCCTTCGTTAACAGATGACAACATCTAGTAATTAGTATTTACCCTCAGTTTTAGTGATAAGACGATGAAACCTTTCTTTGTCGTACACAGTATTTTTTTATTTAAACATTTCTGTGTTAATTATTCATTAGAATTATCAATTAACTAAAAGTTTAAGTTTTACAATGCACAAGACAAAACAAAAAGTCTTTCGCGCGGTATTTGCTGTCAGATTAGGAAGGCGAAAATCGAAATTCTGACGATCTATGTGCGTTTTCCAATTACAGAGCATAATGCGACTCAGTGCCACACAATGCCGCATAATGCTGAAGCTTAATTGGAACGTGAATTAGTTTTCAAATGCATCAGCAGAGTGCGCTAAGTCAGTGTTGAAAAACAAAAATGTTAAGAGTAAAAAAGAGATAGCAACCTCATTAATGTATAAATAATGTGGTTAACAATAATAATTGGTTGAAAACTTTTTACGCTTATTTTAATAATCAAATTATTTCATTAACATTTTTTTACTGAAATAAGAGGTAACGTTTAAAGAATATAAGGTTTTAACAAGCTAAATTAACAGTAAAATATATAGTTTCATGTAAGAAGTTTACATCATTTACGTTTTGAGTAATTTTTTTTAAATGATTTCTAAAAAAATTATATACTTTTTCAAAACCATTGCAATGTTTACAAAAGTATAATCCTGTAAAATAAATTTGTTTACAGATCCGAATTTTAAAATAAAATTGTATTCATATTTTAAATGTGGAATATAAAAAAGTAACTATTTATACCTTCATCCATACTTATATTTTTTTTTTAGCAGTTTGAAATAACTTTAATTATTTTCAAAATCTACGACGAAACGAAAGCCTTACCAATTTTTCAACAATAAATAATATTTACTAACGAAAATTTCGATAAATGCCAACTTAAAGAAAAACACTGGTCAATTTTCTGTCACTGTGTTGATATTTATTGCGAGAAGCACGCGAGAGCATTCGTTTTGAGAGTGCTCAATTGTGCGAAGCGTTGCTGTAGTTGGAACATTCAACGTTGAGCATTATGCCGCATAATGCGCTCTAGTGCTGTAATTGGAAAACGCACTATATTCTTCAGTAATTTATACATTTTATTTGCTCCGATGAGTTACCATTGTTCAACAAAACTTGGGCTATGTCGTTACAGAAACTTTAAAATCTTTATTTAACAGAATCCTATCCCACAATTATTATATTTTGTATTGCTTGCACGCATTAATATAATAATATGTACCTTCTTTTTATCATATTAATTTTTATTACATTGTTTTATTAATTATATAACTTAATTTTACTTCTAGCTGTTATGTTGGCAAGTACATAAAATGTCGGTCGTAGGTTCAATCCACGGCTGTGCACCAATGGACTTTCTTTCTATGTGCGCATTTAACATTCGCTCGAACGGTGAAGGAAAACATCGTGAGGAAATCTGCTTGCCTTAAGCGGGCCATAGACTGACCGCATGTTGCAGTCAAGACCGACTCGACGCTTTAGACCCAAAAAGTCGAGGGCGTGTGTCGGACACAGGAGGCTGATCTGATAACCTACTTGCCTATAATTGCCATTGATTGATCATAAAACAGACTCAGAAATCTGAGGCGCAGACCTAAAAAATGGTTGTACGTCCACTGATTTATTTTTATTTTTAGTAGTCAGTGTGTAAAAAATTTATATAATTCATATTTTGGAATAACTGTGATCAACATAAAAGTCTAATTCATATGAAAGAAAATCTGGTGGATAGGGTAAACACGCAAGGAGCTTCGCACGACTGGACAGTAAGGCCAACCTACATAAAAGTTACTGTATCATTTCTCAGAAAAAAAATTTTTTTTTAGTTATTACCAAAAAAATGTATTATAGATCTTCGAACGATGAGACAATTATTAGACTAACAATTTTGACAAAAATTTTAAATACTAGTAATGGGTTACACAATTAAATTTAAGATCCTAATAAATAGTAACTCCTGGTGTGTCTGGCCCAAGTTTATTTGGCATTGGTTCTTTTTGGAATGGTAAGTCACACACAACTGCTTCAGCGGTAGTTAAAAGAGATGCTACCCTGCTAGCGTCTATCAATGCTCGTCTTACTACCTTTGTGGGATCAATTATTCCTTTTTCTATCATATCAACATAAGTATTGTTCAAAGCATCATAGCCAAAGTTTACATTGGTCAAGTTTTCAACCTTAGAAACAATTACTGAACCGTCATATCCAGCATTTGATGCAATTGTGAGACAAGGAGTTCTTAAAGCCTTTTTCACTATGTCAATACCTTTTTGCTGGTCTTCATTTACTGATTTTAAACAGTTTAAAATTGGTATACATCTTAAAAGAGCAGAGCCACCTCCTGGAACAATTCCTTCTTCTACAGCAGCACGCGTTGCATTGAGTGCGTCATTAACTCTATCTTTCTTTTCGTTTACTTCAACTTCGCTACTTCCACCTATCCGCAATACGGCTACCACCGATTTTAGTCGTGATAGTCGCTGCAGCAGCCTTTCTTTTTCTTTTTCATTTGCACATTCATTGTATTCTTCTTGGATCTGTGCGATTCTTTGTTTTATTTCATCTTTATCTCCCTGGCCTTTTAGCATTAATGTTGAATCTTTTGTGATTACTACTTCCTCCACTTTACCGAGACTTTTCAAAGTACAATCTTCAAGTCTCAAAAGGTTTATATCATCTTCGAAAATAACTCCTCCAGTAGCGATAGCCATATCAATTAATGCATTTTTTCTGTATTCAGCATATCCTGGTGCTTTTACAGCAGCAACTTGAAGTCCAATTTTTAACTTATTTACTATTAATATAGATAATGCTTCCCCATCATAATCTTCAGCAATAACAATAAGTGGTTTCTTTTCTGCGTTTGATATTTCTAGAGCAGGTACAATTTGTTTGGCGTGAAAAATTTTTTTTTCAGAAAACAGAATCAAGGCATTATTATACTCTACTTTTGGTCCTTTAGTAGAGTTGATAAAAAATGGTGAAACAAAGCCCCGTTCGAATTGAAATCCTTCAATTATTTCCAATTCATCATTTAATGTTCTTCCATCTTTAACAGTAATAATTCCATCTCTTCCCACTTTCTCCATGGCATCAGCTATTAATTTACCTATAGCTTTATCACCATTTGCAGATAAAGTCGCAACCTGTTCTATTTCCTTACGGCTAATTATTGGTTTTGATATATTTTTTAAATGATCTGTAACGGCTTCAACAGCAATGATTATGCCTTTTCTTATTTCTATTGGATTAGCACCCCTTGAAATATTTTCAAAGCCCTCTTTTGCGATGGCTCTTGCAAGAACAGTCGCAGTTGTTGTACCATCTCCAGCTTCATCATTCGTCTGTTTTGCTACATTCTGAACTAGTTTAGCCCCGATATTTTGAAACTTATTTTTAAGTTCTATTCCTTTGGCTACAGTTACACCATCTTTTGTTATTTTAGGGGGTCCAAACGTTTGCTCTAAAATTACATTACGTCCTTTAGGACCCATTGTAATCGCTACAGCATCTGCCAGGATATCTACTCCTTGCAACATTAAGGATCTCACGTCTGGCCCAAATCGAACATCTTTTGCATAAAATCTTTCCCAGTACTTTACTTTGATAATATTTTTCTTGATTTTGGTTACTTTTAGAATCTGAGACAACATTATAAAAATATAAAAATTTAAAATATTTGTAAAAGACGTCAACAATATTATGAAAGAGCAAATAAGACAAATTACAAAATTTATTTAAAATTAGAATATAGCAGTAAATAGTTTACAGTTTAGAAGATAACTCAAAAAAAAAACCTCTGTTGTGAGTTTTCAAGAGATCATATTTAAAGGTTGTGATTGATACCTGAACCTGATGTATATCTGCCTAGTTGAGGATAGTCTACCGATTACCGAATCTGCCTGACACTTGACAGTGCTGACACAAAATTGAAAATGCCGTTGCATTTGAATTTTTAATTTTTTTGTTTAAATAATAAATCAATTCTTGTTATTTTTTTAGTATAATATACAAAGATTATTCAATAAAATTAGTAGTGTATCCATTTTAACTCTTTAAAATGACTCAAAACATTGTATTTAATATAAATATAGGCGATCAGTTAACATCAATTTCTTGTGGCCATGTTATTGTAGAGCTAATAAAGTTTTTAGCATACCAAAGGCTTCAAATTCCATACACATATCAGTGGCTAAAACAAATGGTTAATAAGAAGAAAGATAATGAAAATGAAAAGGATACATACCAATCTGAAAGACATTTTCACGTTGCTTCTACAGCGTTAAATAACCTGGATTTTGTCCTTAAGGTACAGTGCAGTACACGCTGTAATTAATGTAATTTCTACTTGATGCATGAGTGTCTAAAGATTTTTTTTTAAGTTTTATAGTTATCAGGTTATTAGTAGTTATGTTATTAAGTGGTTCTTAAATAATTCCTTACCAAGATGGGTTAGATTAAATCAGTAGACATTTTGTAATTATAAATTATTTCAGAGTTTGTTAAAAGAAATTGGAGAGGCAACTCTACCACAAGAAGTATGTATAGCATTTGGTTCAAGTCCAATCTCATGTAAGGAGATTTACCGCATTGTCTTACCAACAGTGTGTCATAAGCCACAATGCCAATCACCTCATATTGCATCAGACAAAAAAATACAAAGCAGTGTATTTAGGTAATTCTTTTATTTCTCTTTAATTTAATCATAATTTTTTGTTCAGCATATAATATAAAAATTATTTTAGGAATCTGGTGACTTCAGAAAAATTGTGTAAAGTCTTTTTTGAGCCGCTATCACCTACTAACATGTATGTTTTCCTAAAAAAGGAATCATTAAGTAACCAGCAAGTTGTCTGCAGTGATACTTTTCTTCATGTTAATGGGTACAGAATGCCTAGGAGCTGTAAAGTTGTTGTTTTAAACTTTCCTGCCAATCCTAAAAACACTACTTGTTGTAATGATTTTAAGATCTTTGGTAATGCGCCAAGTGAAGATCTCTCAAAACTGAGCTTGGATGATTCTAGTGATGATGATTTTCATGAAATTGAATCTACTGATAAAGTGCAATGGTTTCAATCAACTTATGTAATGAAAGGTTTTAAAGATTGTGTTGTAAATGGTAGTTCTATTATTAACAGCTGGCTACATTAATGTTAGTCATCTTTTATTAGCTCAATTCAATAGTTAAATCATATATTTTGTAAGTGTAACTGTAGGATAAGATGTGTTTGATGATTTAAGTGCCACTAAAATTCTTATATATTTAATAATTAAACTTTGTTACTTGTTACATTTTGCCATGTAGCTAAAAATAAATGTTGACATATGAAACAACTGTTTGTTATGACTTATTTTCTTAACTTTAATCTTACTGGTATAAATGTATATTATCACAGAATTAAACATGTACAATTATTATAGGATTTAACTCATTTTTAACATTCCTATAAATTATAACACTATCTTATTTACTTCTGCCATTCCATCACTAAATATGGTCCTATCCCTTTTCATTATACATGTATCTTTTATATTTTGTTGGTCAGACCTAGAACAAGAAGTTTTACAATTCCTATAGGCATTGTTAAATTCGACTAATAAGTTATGTCTTCCACCATTTGGTCCTACAACATATTGGCATTGTATATTTTTTTCTACCATGTCTCTTATACAGCACTCTACCAATTCATAATATTCCAACCAAAAACCACTTGGCAATTGTTGTAGTTTGATATTAAGATACTCAGTCAAAATCCCTGTCACTAATATGTCATCTATCCAAAAATATGGATGGTATGGAGCCTCACTGCAAATTATTTCTGCAGTTTTAGGATTCACTATGTAAAACCAGCCAGAGAGATAAGCTGGGTATTTTTGTCTTGGGTATTCTTCTCTTGTAACAAACCATTTGTTATTACTATTCCTTCTCGGTAATGTGTTGTTCAAAATGTATCCCATAATAAATTGATCTTGGGTAGGAATGCTTAGTAAATAATCAACAGTTTTATCAAAATTAAAAACTGTGTCATCATCAACTTTTAAAATGAATGCAGTATTGCTACATTTTGATGATGCCCATTGTAGTCCCATAAGGTGCTTGTAGGTCAAATTTCTATAATTTTCATAAAAGGAGCCTTGCAGTATGTCTCCAAATGCTTTACTCTCATCTTCAATGGCCGCTTGTGTTATGTACCTGTGGATGAAAAGGTATATCATATAGAAAAATAAATATGGAATATAACATCAATTTTGAGATAAATAAATTAGTTGATTTGGTAACCTCTCAACAGAAGGTATTTTAGCTAGCAAAAATATTCTGGAAGCATTTTTGGATGCCAAATAATCTGAAGGCATTGCTTGGCGATGTGCACTGCGTAATTCAATATGGCCCACATAGGAAGTAACTATGATTAATATATGTAGAGGATCTGAAAAAAGTGATTTTTTTTATCGTTTATATCATAACTTTGTTTCCTTAAGTGTCAAGTAATTTATAAAAAAGCCTTACTTCTACATGTTGAGTTTGAAGGAGATATTATAATTGTGTTTGTGTATTGGTGATTCTGTTGTAATATTAAAATAGTATTTTCGTATTCTATATTTGAAGTACGATATATCCAGAAAGCAAGAGATACTAACAAGAAAATAATTACGTATAGGGCTTTCTTCTGCATTTTAGTTTATTTTAAATGCACTGTGGGCACAAGTCCTAGAAGTTACTTTTAATACTCAAAAAACATTATTTTTTGGTCCTTGCTTTTCGTTATTTATTTATGATATGTTGTGCTGTGCATTAAATTTGAATTTTGAAAGTTGAAACTGGCTGAAAGTTAAAACATTTCAATTTAAGTTTTGAGAGAGGAAAACCTTTCAGTGTCACTGTCTACTTTAGACGTTTTGCTTGACAGTTGACGTTTAGTTTAAACCAAGTGACTGTCTTGATAGTTGCGTACCTTTATTTAAAAAGCTCAAAGTTTTATCTCTTCCCTGTATAAATTATATTTTAGAAATGTCCTTATTCGTGCACGGAGACATACATATTTTTAAGTCGAAGTAATAAGTAGACATAAGAAGAAATTGGCTGTTCCAAAAATCAATCTGGAACTGTTTAGAATAAACACCTATTGTATGGCAATTAAAGTTTACAATAATTTACTTGTCTTTAAAAATCTAATTACTTTTGGAAAAAAAAAATATTATTCAATAAATGATTATTTGCGTGAGACACTGTAGTTGATATAAATTTAATAAGGTATGATATGATATGTACGATACTTTTTTTTTATTTTTTTATTTTAATAATGTAAAATGTAAAATTCCTTTACAGAAAAATTTCCGCGCCATTGTGTGTGGCAGAATATGCGAACTTACGATTGTACCAACTTACACATTTTTGTACCATATTCTTGCAATAAATTATTATTATAAATAACTGATTTTTTTAATCCGATTCTGAAGACTAAAGTCTGTATAATAGAAAACTGGAGAAGAATTTGGCGGTATAGACAGAGTCCATAGAAACATAGTGTTTTTCGTCTAAGAGTCTCACATTCTATATCTATACATAAATAATATTTAACAACAATATTTAAACACACAGTGCACATTTTATTTGTGCTTTCGATAGCCCCTATCATGCCTCTAAATCCACTTATGGATCTGAACCCTGCAGATACTTCTTCCTGTTCACGGATTGTTGCAGGCATTTTTATAAATTGATGATTTCTCCTAGCGAGGGCTTCTGCTACTTTTCGGCATATATTTGTAATTGACTGCTGACTAACCCCGTGTAAATCAGCAGCATCATCTTGAATCTTTAACAAGAACCTTTAAAAAAAATCAGATCAAATGACGCACTTTTTGTCTTTAATACACCCATTAAACTAGGCCTCTGCGTTGTTTAAGCATTGTACAAGTCTTCCTACAAACAAAACAATTGTTATAACAGCCGTATACATCAGACTTGGCAATTATTAAGGAATTATTAATAACATTTTTGTTATAACAGGCTTAATAATGTGCATAAATCTTTATTAGTAAGACTGATATTGTTTTAGTCGACTAACATATAAAGATAATTTCAGACACAAGTAAAATACAAAAAATATCAAAAATTGCTATATCGGTAAAAAACATAACATCGTACACAGATACCTTAATATTTTCTATTAATAAAAACAAACATTATAGCTAATTATTATGAATTCACATTAAATCTAAATATTTTGTTCCACGAGATGTGGACCTTACTCGTTTTAAAAAATCGGCTAATGGTCTTAAGGTCCTGCTTAACACAATAAAATACTTAATATAAAAACAATGCTTGCAATTATTTATATACACAGCTATAATATATTAACAAACAAGGCTTTATTTGGACAGTTTTAGTTAGAAAGTTATGAAAATAATAATATGATAGTTTAGGCGTATTTCAATAATAAAATATTATATTATTTAATAACGAAACTAACCTTAATATACGTACATACTTGCTCCATTTCTTTATTTGTTACACATAAATGCGTTGTGCCCACCTAGAAGTTTAATTTTCCCTTTGTCCTTTCCCGCATATTATTGTTTCCTGCGGAAGTCGTTAAAGAATAAAATGATGCAATATGCAGTTGCTGAATTCATTGATTCCCTTTAAATTCTTACGTTACTTCTAGTAAAAATAATTAATTATGTCTTCTAGTAAATATGTGTATTTATAATACTAACTTTATCACAAATTTTTACAATAATCACCTTGGTTTCTCGTCACAAATCATTGGTGGTAAATAAATTCAGATAAAACTTTTACCTAAGCCTCCATACAATTGTTAATTTGATTATATATAAAGTATTAAATTATCAACTACCTTCCGTGCAGTGCACATTTTTCTTGCGACAATCAGTAATCGCTCTGACTACAGCTGTACGAATATCTCCATAATCTCAGACGGAACCTAATTGATGCGTCGTTAAACCAACAGCTACTGCCACTGTTTATCATTTGTCTTATCAAGAGTCTGCCTATACAAATACTGGGGAGCTGGATCAGTCGAGCTAGGAGACACGACCGCGACGCCTGCGCACGGAAACAGCGACCTTGTTAAAATTGACACCATAATGAATGCAAGCATGGACGACGCCGCGATCAGCGAAGGGAATGCGTTAAACGCAAAAATTATCACTATGGTCTGCCTATTTAGCGTTTCCATGATTGTGGGATGTGTACCGACTTTGATTTCAATGAAATTCAATTGGTTTACCCCGAAAAAGGATACGAATATGCGGTCTTCTAATTCGCTTGTGATTGGACTGCTATCGTTCGGTGGTGGAGTTCTGTTTGCGACGACGTTTATGCATCTACTGCCCGAAGTTGATGAAAATATTAAGCAGTTGCAAGGTATGTTTTTTTTAATAGAAAATATTAATATAAGGAAACCAGAATTTACAGTAATATTATTAAGTATAAGTTATGATGCCGTTGATACAAGGTCCATTAAAAACTTTTTGGACATCATAATACATTTTTTCATTACGATGTTATGTGTTTTACATAGTTTGACATTTTACTTGTGTCGGAAATCATCTTTATACGTCAGTTCTAGTAAGTTTACTGTTATAATAAAACTAATATTTTTATTATATTTTATTTTTACTGAAAGTAAAATGATATTTAAAGTGCGAAAATAAATAAAAATTGTGTGTTTAAATATGGTTTATCTATAGATAAAGTATTTTAAGACGAAAAACTTAATTTTGAATTAAGCGAATATGTACATACTTAATTTTGTTGATCCTGTTTTGTCATAACTTTTCCTTTTTATTAGCGTCAGCGAGTGCAACAAAATAAATAAGCGGCAATAATGTTCTGTATATAAGGGACAAAACCAAAAAAAAAAAAAAAAAAAAAAAAAAAAAAAAAAAAAAAAAAAAAAAAAAAAAAAAAAAAAAA